CAAGCACAGGTCCTTGTTTCTGGCTGCTCTCCATGGTCTCTGGGCTTTACTTCAAGCTGTCCTTCCCTGTGTTTTGAAGGAAATAGACATCTGTCTGAGCTTCCTGAACATAGTTTGAAAGGGCTTTTGGAGCAATACTTCATGCCAAGAAACTGGTGTGCAGTATTAACGGCGTACTGGTTTAGAAGAAAGAAAGTCTTCCAATGGAAAGAGGCCTATCCATGGGACCCATTATCTAGACACATGCTAATTTGAGCAGAACCATTGTTTTTTTCCATTATTGGATCCTCCAGCTGAATTTCAGTCAGGGTCGGTGAACATTTTGCCCTTTTGTGTTGCACCAAGGAAGGCRACAAAAAAAATTGTAGAAATACAGGTGATTACTTGGTTAGTCCCATTCATTCACAAGGCTCTTGATGATCATGGAGCCTTGAAGGATTTGATAAWTCTCACAATAGTGTTTTCCAGCTGAGGCTGTCATGAGTACCTCTACTCTGTTCCTTGTGCCTCAAGTCATGAACATTTCATTACGTTAGATTAGTATCAGTTGAAAAGCCTAAGAAAGACTTTGTGCTTGTAYGAGTAACATGGTGTTTCTCACACATGGACAGAAAGGGAAGAGTTTATTTAACTGGAGCAGTTCACAGGTCTCTGAGAGCTGTTCACTTTTCTGGCCACTAAAACAAATGAGCTGCCTTTGCAGGCAGTGGCAAAGGCATGTGTAGCAACTAAGAGGTTACTTTTCTGTGCCTTTGAGTTTCAAGGATTTTGAAACAGGTTCAAACACTTTCTGAAGTTTCATCTTTCATTGAATCCCTTAATCCCTCCAAGCTTGGCACCATTTCTCACTCATGTTTATATTTTAATCTCAAGTTTCTTKCTTGAGAGCTAGATTGTTTAAACCTGAGGCTGTCAGTGATGGTGCATCTTGGAGTTTTGTTACACATTTTCCAGCAGCTTCTCACGATTTGGCTGTGTGTGCGAGGGGGGTGCTTGTTCAGGGATAATGTACATGAACTCCACATCAGGCTGGCCACATTCATGTGGCTCATTTTAGCTTTGTTTGTTTTGTCCCTGGGCCTGAATGCTCATGAGCAAACATACAAAGTTAGTGACAGGAAACTCTCCAGCCTGGTAGAGCCCTCTGGTTATTACCCATTACGGTCTCTTCAGGTGGGCAGTGATGAAGTCCCAACAAGAAGTCTGAGGTCAGTCAAGAGGGACCTCRTAGCCCAGCTGAAGGATCTGGAACACAAATGGTGTTCTCCTCCATCCCACCAGTTTCAGGGAATGATGGGGGTGGAAACAGGAAAATCACACAGATGCCTACAAATTCACCTGGCTCTGAGCCTGGTGTTACCAGCAGAATTTCTGGTCACAGGTCAGTTTATGCAACACTGAGCTTTCTGGCAACAAATGGAAAGAAGGGATCTTTGCCAGGAGTGAGCAGGTAACCCAGATTTGAAGAGGGAAGGGSTTACAACTGGGATCAGTAGGGATAAGCCTGGGTGCAACACGCCGCAATTTCTGCTGGTTTTATTTTCCAACCACCAAAATATTTCCAAGCATGCTGCCTAGCATCCCTAGGACCCAGAGGCATCCTTTCTCAAGGACCATGCTGGAGGCATCCAAACCCACCAATGTCTCCAAAACTTGCCTAGCACAGAGGGCTTCAGCCCAACCTGCCACGCGATAAACTGCTCCTCAGTCCAGGGTGCTGGATGCAGCATCTGACATTCAAATTGCCCCTCCCTGTGAAGACCCCACATCCTTCATTGCTGATGAGATAGCATGCTGCCAGCTGTTATTCTTTCAATTAGTCTAATTAACAGAATTTCACATTACATGGCCTAACTCATTAAACTGCAACAATTTGCTGAGTTAAAGTAAGTGGAGAGTTGCTTTTACAGTCCTGTGGTTATAGAATTATGGAATGSTTTGGGTTGGAAGGAACCTTAAAGACCATCTKGTTCCACACCCACCCACCCCTCTCCCMAGGCAGGAACACCTTCCATGRGACCAGGGTGCTCAGGGCCCCATCTAACAATTACAGGGATGGGAGCATTGGCTTTACAACAAGGAGGACTCAAGCTTACAAAGCTACAGAATCTGCAAGGTGTAAAGAAAGGTAAGCTTTGTTCAGACTTACTTAAAGCTCCATTTTCATGAAGTATGCCCTTTTAGGCTCCTGGGAGTAGGAACAAAAAAACTGGCCTCAACTTAAGAATGATTAAATGTATTTATCTAAGACACAGACAGGTTTGTTAAATCAATAAACCTATTATGTGTACATATGTGTAAATCAGACTTTTGTATTGTCCCACAGTTTTTTAAACAGAAAAATGAAAACATTTCCAGGGAGCATCAAATAATGAGTAGCACCAAATGCATACAAATGATGCTCCCCAGGTCAGAATAAATCTGAGATTCTTTACCTTTGGATCCTTGTTTTACTTGCTTTTATTCAAGATCCTTACTTTCATGTAGAGGTTCAAGTGTGGTGAGTGTCAGACTCTTCTCCCAAGAAACAAGCAATGGATGAGAAGAAATGACCTCAGGTTGCACCAAGGGAAGTTTAGATTGGATATAAGGAAAAGTTTCTTCACTGAGGTTTTCCTCATGAAGAATTGGAACAGGCTGCCCAGTATGGGGTTGCATCACCATCCCTGGAGGTATTTATAAAAGCTGTAGATGTGGTGTTTAGGACATGGTTTAATGCTGGGCTTGGCAGTGTTGGGTTAATGGTTGGACTTCATATTTTAGAGGTCTTTTCCAGCCTAAATAATTCTATGAACTCCTGTGTAGATAGAGCTCTTCATGAATATTGGCCATCTGGACTTCTGAGAGAAATGAGCACTTTTATTTTGCTTTTTTTATGGGCCTTGTAAATTCAGAGATGAAAGGTATTTTTAAATGGTGATAATTTTTATAGCATTAAGTTGATCTCTCCTTCTGTTTTCTAACCCYTGAGCTGTCTCAAATTGATCAACTCTATTGTTTCCTAACTCCTCTGACCTTAGTCTGTAGGGGAATTACCATCATATTTCAAAGGTCAAAGWTACACCCTTGGTTTTTCTTCCCCTTAAAAAAACTAACAGAAGGTTGTGTRAAGCATTTTGACCCTCATTTTGTCACCTCATTTCTGGTGACATGAGTAAAATGGCTGTCACTCCACCTGATATTCCTTAGCAGGGAATCTACATACTTTAGTTTGTTGCAGCCCAGTCACAGCATCTAAAGCTGGGAGGTAGTTAATGTAGTTAGAARAAGAGTGGGATCTAAAAATGGAATCCTTTCAGGGAACTGGATTTTGAGGTAAGAGACCAGTGCCTGTGGGAAGGRTATGGCCCCGCTTCCTTTCTATCAAGTAGAAGGCAAGAGAGAAAACAAGTTCTTCCATGATACAGGAAATGCAGTTTCTTGAGTTAAAAAGTGCACAAAGGCTTTTTGGCATCAAAGAGAATCCAGCAAAGCATCCTTTTCTGTAAAAAAGTCAAAACCATGCTGTTGGGCTGGCTGGAGAACCAAAGTTTCCTTTCTGATCCATCTCCAATCACAAATATAAGCATCTGTTGCCAAACTCAAAAAGCTCACGTGCTGTCTATTCTTCACTACCAATGCTCTAGTCAGGCTTTGTTTCTTTCTGTCACCAGTTTTAATTCTAATACTAAAAACATTCGACACTGTTTTCTCACATTTCTCTCATTTCTTAGAGGAGAAAACGTCCCAGCGTGTGCGTCTTTATCATACAGTGATCGTTCCACATAAAGACAAGGAGGATGTCAGTGGTTCCATCATTCTCCAGCYCTGCCCTGTCTGGTGTAGAAAATCTTTAGGATGGAAAGGAATGGTATCTCAGAGGAGACCTGGGAACTTGTTTATACATGTTCTCTTTTATTTTATTTTTTTTCACTTATGGAATCTCCCGTCTCTAGACAGCAGCACAGTTTCTATATGGTGTTACACCAAAAAAAGAAAAACCCTGTGGAAAATTTGCACTTCTTCAGGGGACAGGAAACTGGTAGCAGTAGCTACTACAAAAGAAGAAGCCTGAATAACTACCTATTCATGGTGCTGGTAAATGCTGAGTGTGGCATTATTCTTATTTAGAGGATTTATATGTGTAGGGGTGAAGATATGATACAGTGTGTTCATGACATCCTCTGCTATGGCTGACCTAGAGTTGTTTGGTGAGTTCTGGATGCAGGCASCAGAGTTAATCAGGTTGCTCTGCTTCTGTAGCTGAAAGAAAAAAACTAGATTAGTATTTATGGTATTATCATCCCCACACTTTCCACATCATATAAGTCAAAGTCTCTTTCGGGCCGCTCTTATGACGGTGAGTGATAAAAAATAATTACAGGTTGTAAACTAGGAAATATCAGATGAAGCCAGTTTTAATAGACTGTGAACAAAGTCCATTTTAGCCAGTCAAAATCAGAGATGCATCTGAATCAGAGACAGACCACTGTGGAATTCTTCAGTGTCCTTTTGCACATCCCAGAAGTACTTCTCCAATCCATCTGAAAAGCTCTGTGATTGACAATTTTATTAAAAACTGTGAAAGATGATGTCATGGACAAATCCAATGATAACTTCTTTCTGTTAACCCCAAGAGTTTAGTCAAGTTTATTTAAGCCTGCAGGCATTTGTTCAGGAGCTGGGCACTAAGACTCAGGTACTTTTGTGCAAAATCAAGTACACAGCATGGACTGGGGTTGCCTTGTGAATCTGCAAGCACAGAAACATGCCTACAAGACTGCATCAAAAGAGAAGGATTTTCCCATATCCTTGAGAAATGAGAATTTTATTTAAATATCTTCATTGAGTGGCAGAGAAATGAGAGGAGGTCTTTTATTTAATAGCTCATTTCTCAGGGCTACCCTTATGACACTGAGTTCATACAGCCTTTGAGATCCCTTCTGTACAGTAACTCCTTATTTATACAGTTACTGATGTTTACAAGGTTACCGACAATTTCCTGTCTGATTATCCCACAGTTTATGTGCTGCTTTATCAAYGCAGAAGCCAAATTGCAGGAAATCAGACGGTTGCTTTGGACAAGATGATAAGCTGTTGCACAACCTTATGAGTTTCGTCTCACACACTGCAAACTGAGTTTCTGGAAAGATCTGTCTGCAATAGAACTGCCACAGTATATATGCATTTTCCCCACTGCTAGAAGCAAATCCCATCATTCTACCATTYCAAGAGAATGTGAAGAGAGAAAGATAGAAGAAAAGTAAGCAGAGAAAGAAATTAAAAAAGAAGCATGGAGTAGAGAGATAATTCAGTTAGTTAAAGGAGAGCAAGGAGAGTGCAGTGGGAGAGGGAAGGAGGGTCCTCTAGGGCTAAGCATTTGCCACATGGGAGCCTGTAGGCTTCAGTCACATTTGTCAGCCCTCATCTTCTGTAACAAGAAGGTAATTCTCCTGGGACCATGTGCTGCTCTGAAATGGCTTGCTGGGACACTGCACCMGGGTGGCCCTCGAGCACCTCCATTAGCAGCGTCTCTTGGCATGGCCCTGATTGTGCAGGGAAGGTAAAATGTGGCACTCCCTGTGAGTCAGCTCTCCTTGTGTTCACACCATCAAACACTACATTGCATCAGAGTTGCCTGTCCCTACAGCCGTGTCACAGCACCRGTGTGAGATGCACGTGACAGCAGCACGGTGAAGCTCACGAGGCACCCGTCAGCACAGCGATGGAGCAAAGAAATGCCTCCACTTGAAATGATATGTTCCTAAATGTTTTACTCTTGCTCTTTATGCAGACATCCTCAAGAGACTACTAGTTAAGGTGGAATGCCAGGGCACAAAAATATTTCAATCTACTCTGGTCAAAACTATTCCTAATTTATATATTTTTTCAAAGTATCCTATTGTGTTAGATGTAAGCATTTCATTCACCAATTCAYTCTTGCTACCTCTGGTGTCTCTGATCTGTTGCTTCCAGTCATGCCAAGCATCATATCCATGAGCATTCAGATCTCATAATGATCATTTCAGACCTAAAAGCAGCTGCATTTGGGCTAGAATCCAGCAGGGTTTTGTGGGTCTGAGAGGCACGGTGCTCAGGCAGACAGAGATGTCACTTGGCCTCAGGTGAGTGCTGTCCTTTTTCTAATACCTGCAGGGCTTTAAGCCAGTCATTTTTCTGCATATTGGTWTGACAGATGCAACCAGTGAGAACATCAGTTCCTGGGTTTTGAGAGCTCTGAAGAAAATTTGGTAGCCCTTCTTCCATGCTAAGGTCACAAAAGAAGGAGTGAGGCTCTCCCTAGTTAAGTGCTTAACACAGCAGGTTTGTTTAGGTGGTCTCTAAGTCACTCTTGCATAAATCAACACTTTTAGAGAAAGAGGAAGAAAACAATAAAGGATAAAGGTAAACTTTCTGTACTGGAGAATGTTTCTCCCCCCCATCTCTGGGCTATGTTATGCTGTATATTATCACTGTAATCAAAAGGGGTGTGTATAAGAACTTGCAGAACCAAACCAGCCTGTCTCTAAGGTGTTGCATAGATCACAGTCCTGCAGGTGGCTTTATTTCTAAGTGCTGCTGTTGAAGCCTCCTGCCTCCCCTTGCTCCCAARACCTACTTCTGGACTTAACTGCTGCATCAGGAGTAATCACCTACCTAAAAGTAAGCTCCATTTCTTTACTGAAGTCATTGTTTGCAAAAGAGCTGTAGGCTGCCAAAATGGTTTTGCTGTGATGATTTTATCAGGCACTCAGCTGATGTAGTGCCTGCCATCCTGTTTCTGCATCACCAGTTTTCTCAATGATAAACAGCTGACTTTGCTTTAGTGAATTAATGGTGGAGACAAGCATGAGCCTCAACACCTTTTATTAAATTAACAATCTTGRCCTGTATCACTAAATCAAAAGGGATTGTTTGTAATGTGAAAGCTAATTTATAGATTCTGTGAACACAGCACCAGATGGAGTAAAATTAAGAGTTGTAAAGCTCTCCTTTGAAAAAATCTGAGTGACTTTTCCCCTTTCTTTGTCCCCTAAGTGTATTTAAGCAGATATGTGCATATGTAAACAGCACCAGTTAATGGTGAGATACTATTCAATGTGACCCAAGCCAATATCTTGTTTATATAAAATATATGAAAATATATTATCTTTGCTAATTATATTAATAATTACCATTCATTTCTGGAATATCTATAGCTCCATATGGGATATTCCAGAAACTAATGGTAATTATTAATATCTTTGCATATAGGTAAAACAAGACTTCTCAAATAGCTTTTGCTGCCTGTAAGGGATATGGTCAAACCTGTTGGTAGGATTTGAAGCTGGCAGCTTCACTCCACACCTGTGAGCTCAAATCTAGTCCTTGATAGGGACCGAGGTTSCCATTCCACTTCACAAATTTAGTTTCCCAGCTTGGAGGAATAAGTTGTCCCCACAATAACTACAATATCAAGCATGTGCCTAGTTCTAAGGGTTGTTTGTTTTTGGTTTTTTTTTAAATCCAGTGGCTTTGGATTTTCTCCCACACCCTTTGGTTGTAATTATTCATCCGTCTTCCTAGATATTRTTTCACCTTGGGAATATCTACTTTCTATGGTTCATGGATCCTGGATTTCATTCCAGACATTTATTTCTGGGAAATCTTACACATTGGGAGGCAGGTATAGARTGTGAAAGAGATACTATGAGCAGGTTTGTCTTTGCAATAATTCTTAAATTGTGTCTCTCTAGTGACCTGTGAAGCTATTCTATTCTCTCCAAGGTGGAAATTGGCTTTCAGCTGTTTATTTCTGCCCACTGTGTTGGCAGCACCACACAATACACCACTCCACCACACTGTATAATGGAAGAGTAGAAATGTGAGATTTAGTTCTTCAAATGACCAGGTAAGTACATACTAAGCTGAACAAAGATTCTGAAAGCACCAGAGAAACGCATCTGCAAGCATTCCCCATACAGAATTTGCCATGTGGAAACCAAACACTTTAGCAGGCCATGCATCTCACGGGGAATCACAACTCTGTTTGAAGGAATTCATTCCAAATGTTCTGGTGTCAGGTCAGATCCCTGTTCAGAAGCTTAAGTAAGCATTGCTTGTTAGAAATCTCCCTTCTAAACAGTTGGTTCAAATTCCTAAATAGTCCTGGTACTCTTCTCTGCACTCAGGATGAATCCTTCAAGAGCCTCTGGAAAGGGAGGTTGTACAACCSACTCATGTTAATGAACCAAACTCTTGGTCAGAACTGGGAAAAAAAATTATGGCTGTATGCAACATTTTTCTCTTCCAAAGCTACTTTTGTTCTTATACATGACAGCACTGCTGGTCATATGGAAAAATACCTTGCCTGCCAAGACACAGTTTGAGTTAYAACAGTAATTTCCACATGGCTTCTGGTGGTGCTAATCCTAGATAACTGATCATGTAGTGTTTTGTTTCTGTATCAMTAAGTTTGACATAAAATATAAATCCTCTTGCTTTAACTAAATGGTTGTATTTAAAGCCCTGCAGGAATTGAAATTTTTTCAATCATTAGTTTTCATTTCATTTTAGATCACAATTCTAAATTTCATTTGAAACCACAGAAAATATTCTGTTCCAAAATTTAAACATGTATTTTAAATACCTGATGTGGTTGATTTGAAGTTAATTTTGGATCACTCAGATGAATTGCTTTGATTTTTGTTAAAGATCTGCCTGTTATTTAATCTTCTTCCACTTTTTTAAACAAATGTACAAAAAACCCAAATGCAAACCCCACAACACTGAAATTGAAATAATCCCTAGGGAACTTGTGTTATCAGCAAATCAGCATTTGCCAAAGGCAAAGCAGCCCATCTGATGCATTTTGGCAATTTCTAACTTTCCTGTAGACTGCTACTTGTTATCAGTATGAGGTCTGTGATGCAGCACTTGCACAGCTCTGAATGCATCCAGGTGAGCAGTGGTGCAACACCTACACCCCAGAAAAAATGCTAAAGTGAACTCCACGTGTAGCTGAGTGTAACCTCCCTCAGCTCCAAAGACACACAGCTTTACACAGCAGCCAGGTCAGATGCCTCCTGTTGAGCAAAGATGAGCTGTGGAAATAATGAGCCTTTTCTGACCAAGGYAGGAGCTATGCTTCTTCCTCCCTGTGTTTCCTGTTGCCCAGTTCCTGATGCTTTTAGGCTTTCTAGGAAAGGTTACAGTAGTTTCTCTCGTGAATCAAATTTAAACCAGCCTGGGAATTTCCTTGACATTTCTTCCACAGTAGCAAGGAGGTGACAGGTCAAGCACACACAGATGAAGCCACCACAGCAGTGCCACCAGCATTGCACAAGCAGCCCTTGAACAGAAAAGCATTTTGCTGTGAGGCCAGAGGAGAATGTAGGTCAGCATAATAACATCGGATCTAGACTTTCTTCTTGGGACAGTAATAGGCTYAAGGATTATGAACCCAGTGCCTTTTGAAAACCTGTTTTGTGCTTGGTAGAAACAAAGTGGAAGCTCAATTAAAAGAGATGAAACTGTGGTGGCAAGACTGCCTAGAAAGAAACAGAGAGACTACTGATTTACAGGCTATTGCTGGGTCAGCTCCCCTTCTAGAAAGCACACTAGAATTTTAATGTACGAGCCCAAAGTCAGTTCCTCAGATATTTTCTGCAAAAATATGGAATAGTTCTGGCACACCTGATCAGGGACAGGACCCTGGCTGAGGACTGTCACCTGGGACAGTGCAGCCATTGCTGTGCTCCTACTGAAGAGCTACAGGTTTAGTTTGCCTTTCTGTGACCACACTGGTAATTCTAACGTTTTTATTTTCTGGCAATCAGAATATATCAACATTTGTATTTGGGGACATTTTTTTCTAACACAGAGTGGATGACATTAAAATTTGTGTCACCAAAAATATTGTTTAGCTTGTTTTCCTGCACTTATTGAAAAGTGGAAAATCACTGTAAAATGGTGGAATAGGAAAGGTCTGCTTTCTATGCTTTCTTCTCAGTCCTCAACTATTCCCCATCATCATGCCAGGTGTCTTCCCCTCACCATGTCAAGTGTACTTTTAGGCACAATCCTAGCATGTTTTTATCACAAGGGGATGTACTGGCCCTTTTGTTGGTAGAACAAAATTCTACCATGCCCTTCTTGCATGGTAGAATGAAATTCTACCTGCCCCTTTCTTTTTCTCTTAAAAACCCCTGAAATCTTCCACAGGCCCTTTGGCTTTGGTTGATCTTTCCCTCCTCATTGGCATAATACCTTGATCACATTCATCATTCACAAGACAGCAAATCTCCCTGAATTCTTTACTCTGATCTGAGATACAAAAGGCATGACCACATGTGAAGGTGAGGTCTCGGTGTCAGCACCTTTAAAATGCTCATCAAATACACCAGTACTACAAGGGGCCATGAAATATTTGAAAAAAGTCATCTGCATCTTTCCAAAACCAAAACAAAGACAGAAACTGGATCAGATGAGTGCTGTTCCATGAATGAAATGTCCATTTATATGACAGTACAAATATTGCCAGAGAAGATGGTGTTTATCAAAATCAGATCAAAATTTCAAGCCGGACCGACAAAACCGGTCAWATTCACTGTGCCTGTGGATTTGCAGAATAAATGGTTCTGATTTTTTTTTTCAGATTACCTTTAGGTGGAAGAATAATAAGCAATCCAACACTCTTGTAGATGGAGAGCAATTCCCTGAACTTTTCTCTCGGCTGCAAATGGAACACAGACACGGGAAAGGGTCTGGACTGACCTGAGGCAGCAGTTCAGAGGGAGCCCCTGAAACACAGGGCTGGGTTCATGCCCAGCCCCACAGAGGTGCTCATCTTCTCTAAATCTGCCTGGTTGAGGATGTTATGATATTCCTGTTTTCCTAGGAGGCTGTTGGCAGAGGATTAAAAGAAGAGGAAAAAAAGTATGCCTGGTTCTGACAGATATCGATTCAGCCTTGTGCTTTTCTTGAGCAGCCTCTGAAGTCAGGATTCCTGTAGAGCTAAAGCCTAATTTTAAACGGTGTTTTTTTGGTTTTTTTCCCCTGGCAGAAGGCCTGTGAGCCTGGTGCTCCCAGCACTCCCATTCTCCCCCACAGAAGCCTTCAGACCCTGACAGAACCAGGTGTGTTGAGTCTGCAGGGCTTATAAAGCTGATCCAATGTCAAACTCATCTGATTTTCCTGTTAAATAAGGAGGTGRATTAAATCTGAGATTCAAATATCCTCAAGCTATGGGTCCCAAAAGTCAGACCCAGAGTTTCTGCCCACCTCTTGGATTTGATACAATGTSACAGTAGCATCTCAGGGTTTAAAACACAGCACAAAGGATTACATTAATTCTGTATGTGCATACATATGAAGATATTTATAGCATGGGAATGATTCATGAAAGCAACCACAAGTTCCTCTGTAAACCTTTAGGAGTTGTAATTAAAGTAATTAGAAGTATTAATTACTTTACAGAAGCCATGTAGGATGCAAGATCCATATTACAGTTATTCTGTCACAATTTCAAGCTCTTTGAGTTAATTTTACTCTGCAAACTCCTCCAGCCTATTTGCATCATTTTGCACCCTGAACTCGCTGTCTAGACAGACACTCTTCACTTGGTTTGCAGTGCTATCGTAACCCATTTTGAATTACAATTTCACACAAGCAATGCCTCAAATACCATGTTCTGGATTCGTTTGAAACTTCCATTGTGAATAATGGATGAGTGGACTAAGAAACTCTGACACGCAGATCAAGTGTAAGATGCTGTGAGATGTAAAAATGAGCTAAATGTCTTCAGATTACTTTATACTACTTCCATTCACATCCTCATGGCCATCCATCCACATGGCCTTTCTTTTGCTATTTACTGTTCTACAACTGCCTCACTCAAGTTATATAATAAATACTGCAGATCATCTATTCAAAATTCATTTGGAATCCCTAAACTTCCTAAAGCAAAAATTCCTCAAGTCTTGGATTCCTGTAACTGCTTAAGAATCAAAACTGAGAAGAATTGCTAGTCATCCTTATAAAGTTAAAAATACAATAACAAATGCCTGTGTTTTGATTCTAGAAAAAAAAACWAGCTTGAGTCACAAATTTTGCTTGTTTGTTGCAGTATATATATCATACCAGACCTGAATTTTATATCAGTAACAGTTAAAATATATTTTTCTTTTTTTAAAAAAAAAAAGTTTATTGCAAATATATATGTATTTTTACACATTTCCTTTGTAACTGCATTGCTGAGGAGACAAGCCTGTTAAAAAATTTGGAATTTAWTTGGCTAAGTACATTTAGGCTATAATTGCCTGGCAGGGTTATTTGGAAGCTCTTTGTCCAGTGATATGTGCTCAGAGTAATATATTTTTCATTTTTTAATCTAACAAAAAAATATTCCCTATGATGACATTAGCATTATTTTGTATGAAATGAGTGAAAGAACTTGCTGGAATTATATGAAAAACTGTAATAAATTAATACAAGTTATCTATTGCCATTAAGTGTAGCTATGTGGCTTTAACTGAGTACTTTCCCATCTAAGACTCAAGTTAATTTGGTGTAAGAACATATCACTGCTTTGTATTACAGAGTTCTAAATTCTTGCAAATTCTGCTTTGACCTCTTAATTTTTTTTATTGCAGTTTTAAGAGGAAGTTTCCATTTCCAGGTGAAAGCACTTTCTCTTGAAATATCTCACAGAAAATGAAATAYAACATGCTGTACAATAAAACCCAGGAAATGCAAAACACAGGGTTTAATGTGTTCTGGAGGAATAAAGAAGGAAGACTGCAGTCAGGAGAAAACAAAGGCAATTGTTTTGCTTGAAATAAGTTTATTAAAAAGAAGTGTACCCTGAATTTTTCATTGCAGAATTCCTTTCTTGTCAAATGTGTTGCAGACTCTAATTCTCTCTGGGCATCCATCAATCCCTAACAGTGATCACAACATTGGGGAGTGGTCACAGTTTTGCTGTGACCAGTACACACTAATGCAAAATTCATTTCCTTTTCCACTTTAATATCAGTGGCTTGCAGTTATTTGACATGACCCAGCAAAAGTTCATGGATGCTGCAGGCATTTGTGGCAAATACTTGTATTTAATCTTATTTAATCTAAAATAGCAGGGTATATGGTTCGTGTTCCAGATATCAAATACAAAACAAAACAAAACAAAACAACAAAAAAAAAATTGCATTTTTGTATGAATTTAACAGAAAATGTGGRATCCACATTCCTGAGCACTGAAAAAAGGTAAAAGACAGAGGCCACTTAGGTACTGCATGAGAAATACCCAGAAATAGGGCAGGCAGGCAACATGCCCACTGCACGCTTTGGCCTCAGCATCACACACAGCCCAGGCTCATTTTTGTGACCCAGTCCCACCTCCAAAGGGACACAAGCACTCCTCTCTCCTTTGGTTCTCTACTCGAAGTGGCCAACCTTAATGTTCCAAGGGAGGTTTGCATTCTGACAGGATGTAGAAAGACCCAAGACATTGTCATTCCTGTAACTCAAAGTRGTGATGATTGGTCTGCTCCTTAAACAGTAAAGAACAAATTTTGTTTCATGATAATACCGTAAAACAAAACCTGTTCTTCACTCTTTAAGAAGTGCAGTGATAATGCACTGATAATCCACCTCATTAGTAGTATGCTTAATGATGCACTTGAATTAAAGCACTTTTAATTTACTATTTTCAACCTCGTCTTGGAAGTTYTATTACTGCGTAAATGAGCTGAGATTCAAAAACTAAGCTATTGCTAGTTCAGTGTAATTGCTGAAATAGAAGTGCAATTGCTGCTGCAGATMCCTTTTCTTGCTATTCACTCCTGCCAAAGATCAATTAATGTGCATGCCAAGCTTTGGCAATTCGACCCAGCTCCATTGTGGTGACACGAACAAAGGAGTTTCCACCAAGCAGGGAATTTCAGAAGGCCKTTTCCCTATGCCCTAGCAATGAGAATCTGAGAGCATTTTAGCTGCTCAACGCCCTCAGTGGCTCAAGCYTTCTCTGGCTTAGGGGAGTATTTGACCAAACTGGAGTTTTATGACTCCTGGAAAAGGATTAAAGGCTTAAGGCACACAAGTCCTGGAGGATCTCGTGGGAGCTGACGCTGACAGCGGCTCCCAGTGGTGAGCATCAGCTTACTCACAATCCGCTGGAATTTATCCATCCCTCACCGGTCCACCTTTGAGCTGCAGTGGAGGCTGCAAGRCAGAATGAGCAGCAGAGGGTGACCTGGGTGCGCAGTGAGCAGCGAGGGACAGGCTGGAGCTGAAACAGCATCACTGAAAAAAACTGGGTAAGGTTCATCAAAATGCAGCGGGGCTGTGCAGTGAGTGAGACTGCTGCCRATAGGACAGGTGAGCAAGACTAGAGACTGCCACAAGAACAAAACCACCCCTGTTTAGGCTGGCACTGCACTGCAGTGGGACTGACAGCCAGCACTTTCTTCCACCCAGTCAGTGCTTTTATATCCTGTCAGAGAGGCCATTCTGAAGGCCATTATTATATGTAGGAGATAAGGATGTCACTAAGGGAATGAAGGAATGCAGAGTTGTGAAGAAAATCTCATTAAGAAAATTAACTTTTTATAATCAGTAGAAAGATTGGACCCTTGTAAACAAACTACAACAGCTCATGAATATCCACCTTATGAATAACGTAAGGCCCGTGAGGAAAGACAGGATGTGGTCCTGCAGTGCCAGACCTGGCTGCAAMACAATCAAATGGCCAAACCACAGCTACACAAGCAGGATTAATTCTAGCTTTTCCCAGTTTTGTGTACCACAYTCACAACTTGAGTTAAGTTCCTGGAATGCAGATTTGTATATGACGGCATTGATTCATGTTTTGTGAAAATAATTACTCCTTTAAAAGGTGATAATGTCCTAATAAYGCAGACAAGTTCCAGCTCTGTGAAGATCTGATTTCCAGCAGCAGAGAAGATTTTTACTTGGGGGAAGGAGGGAGTGAAAATTGAAGGCGTAATCTTCATGGGACAAGGTGCTGAATGAGCAAGGATTAATCTCACTGTAAAGAAAGGGAGAGAAACTGGGATRTAGATGATGGTAAAATGAAGTGCCAAGGAACCAGAGGGCAAAGAAACAATACACATGARTTATATGAACAGAGATATACAGACACAATGTAAAGGGTAAGAAAAAAATATCTCAAAAGTTATAAAAACCCCAAAACATAGACATAGTCACATTGGGAAGAATAAATCATTTTTGCAGAAAATAAGACCAAAAATTATTTCATGTTTTTGCAGCCTGCATTTTCTACATCTATTATGAGGTATATTCACCAGGCAGTGACGCAGGAGACCAGGACTTGACTTTAATTTCAGTTCAGAAGCTTTTCTTGTGAAGAAAATAAGTATATTTTTCCCTTTTAGGTATTTCCTTTTCTACTGATGTAGAAGTAACAAAGCTATGAAACAAGGACTGTAAGTAAACTTGTTTGTATATACTAAGCTCCATTTAACAGGAAACATTATATTTAAACATCAGCAGTATATAGGAGATGAAAAGGTTTCTTAAAATTTAAAAAAAAAAAAGGCCCTTTGCTTCTTCTTTATTGTTCTGTAATGCTGAGTCAGTTTTGACTTTCTAGAAGTACAGCACTAAACCAAGAAATCATGGAGCTGCACGTAATGGCACATTTGACCCATGCACACCATGATTTCATGTGTCTGCACGAGAAGCATTTTGAACAGAACATTGAGAAAAAAAAAACCATGTTTTGTTTTGCTGCAATACGTACAGTTGCATGTTAATTATTCGCTTAGAATCAAAGAATCACAGACTGGTTAGGGTTGAATGGGACCTTACAGATCAACCCTTTCCCCCCCACYCCCCGCCATGGGCAGGGATGCCATTCACTAGATCAGGTTGCTCAGAGCCCCAGAACTTTGGCATACATAAGAAAACATCTACTAAATAGCTGTATTCTTCATGTTTCAGACCTACCGAATTCTCATTTGTGGGGATTTGTGAGGGATCTGCTCCTTTCTTCTGAAGAAAGTGKCATTCTGAAGTGGGAAGACAGGGGACAAGGCATTTTTCATGTTAAATCAGAAGCACTGGCMAGTATGTGGGGACAAAGAAGAAAAATGACAGAATGGCATACAAAAAATTGAGCAGAGCTCTCCGGTGAGTTACGGGGCAACAGTGTCCCTCATTTCATTTGACTTCCTCTGCAGCATCCGTTTTTCATAACTATCCTGAAAACTTGGGAGTTGGAGGGAAGGATTGGATGGGCAAGTATTTTCTTCATGTTTTTTCTATAGGTCATGAGATAGTAGCTGATCTCCCTTGCTTATAAAATACCCATAGGGCTGAGTGTAAAGCAGTACTGAGTTGTAACTACTGATGACAACAAAGTCATCAAGATTGATCTCATTTCAGAATCCTACACTCAAATTGTATTTGCCAAACAATCCCCATGAAACCACTCTCTTTGCTGCATCAGTAACACTGATGGTTTCTTCTGAACWGTGATAACCACTCGAAGAACAGTTCTTTGTAATTCTTAGAACTTTCAAGCAATGGAAAGCATACTCCAGGGCACATGGGAAAATTTAAAGCTGCTGTTTTAAAAGCCTCAAGAGCAATTTAACAGAAAGAGAGGAGCTCTCTGACTCTAAGGAACACAGTGATTCATTTATTGCTCTGCTGTCATGAAATCCATATAGAAAACTTCTCTAATGTGACTTCTGCTACCACTTGGTCTATTGTTTCTTTTCTGGTTTTCCCCTGTAGTTTCTGTTTAAAAACTGGYATTTTGGAATGAGTGGACAGAAGGCTGGTATTGAAGTTTGGAAAGCATGCCCATGGGTAACAGAACAAGATGTGAACTGCCTCGTGCTTCCTTCTCAGCACGAAAAGTGCTGTAGCCTGAATTACAGCTGGAATGGTCCTTGAGGGGGAGATTTTCTGCTCTCTCTTTCCCCTCTGCCAGTCTGGTTGAATTCAGTCAGCTTCAAGAGAATGACAATTGCAACAAAAGCAGCACTTGAATTTTGGAATTGTCTTCTTCATAATTTCTGCCAAGCATTATCTCCTCATACGCCTTTATTGCTTCTCAACAGATTAGGATTAATGTTGATATTTAAAAGCTCCCTGCCTCTCTCTGTCTTAGCCAGTATTTCCACTGCAAAATTCTCCCCATTTCACTGCCTTTCAAAATCAACAGTTTAGCTATATTTCCCTGTTAGGTTCCTATATTTTGGAATAATGCAGAATTCTTTCATTTCATAAGAAMAACACTTTTCTGATTCATTGTACCCTAAATCATTGCATTTCTCAGATATGTTAGAATTCAGTATGTTGTCCAAAATTAACAATTCAGTCCTCTTTATTTGTTTGGATCGAATATGTCCAGTCAACCAAGTTAAGAAATCAAGAAGAACCTATTCGCAAGCAGCTACCTTCCTTGCCTATTAATCTCATCTATGCAAATTTATTAATCCATATATACTTGGTATATTTAGCTTTTTGAGCCAAAAAAACCTTCACTGCAATTATTTACCAGTCATCTTTGTGCTGTATTGGGGAGTTGCAATTGCTCATATACCAATTCTGTTATATTACAGAATTAATACAATTTTTATTACAAAGAATTTTCAGGGAAAAATATTCACTTCACTGAAATCCAAGTTCACTTTCTACAACTTCTCATTAATCTAAGTTTGAATTTTCTTCTGCTAACACTTGCGAAGGTGAATTCAAGTAACATTTGCATTTGGAAGAAGCAGTTCTGGAAAGKGTATAAGCATTTGCTGAAGAAGATTAATTTTGAAATGCAAATTATTATTTGTGGYAAAGTTTCTCTAGAACTTTTGCCCACATCTATACAACCATGGTTTTAATYCTTCAAAGCAGTCTATGACATACAGTTTTACACCTCCCTGTAGCAATTAATGTGCAGTAAGTGCTCTYAGCTTCTCTTTACCTGAACTTCACAATAAGTAAATTGGTTAGAATGAAAAACGATATATGAAAATTGAATTGTGTTTTGTGAAAGCATCACAGCTTTTTAGCAGGCTTTATGGACACTGTTTTTTACAGGCTACAAATTACASCAACAACTGTAAATCCATCAACAATTTCAGGCTAACCACAAGTGCCTTTCACCGTTTGTGGTCTTGTTTACAGTGTACATCGTTGCAGCACATTATTCCACATAAGATCAACTCATTGTTGAGTTCATTTGTTCTTTTAGCCCTAAAAGTCTCAATCTTGAAAATCAGGAGACTGCGGCCATGCCTGCAATGGGAATTGTGTTTTACAGAAAGCATTTGGTTTAAGAACTGGAATTGCCAAATTGAGTGCTGCTGCAATATTTCAGATTGGTGCCATCCTACACAGGGATAGTGGGCAATGGCCAGTGGCTCTGACTGTACACCTGCATCACGTCCTGGCTTCATCTCTACCCACCAAATRTTACAAAACTCAGAGAAGTAAGGGGATGTGGAGAGCAAGAGGTAGAGAGAATGGGGGGAAGGGAGAAATGACACTATAATGTGTTTATCTCTTACCTTTTGTATCCCTTTGTGTGTGGATTTGGGAACCAGGTGCCATCCTGTRTACCCCATGGTTCTCCGAGTGCTTTTCTTCACAGCCCCCTTTTGYTCCCTTTTTTTCCCTCAGATTGCTTTCTGTGCAGATCTAGAACCAGCAACAGCTCTCTGTCCTGGAACCTTTTCTGTGGGAGCAGTCACTGTGCATTTTCCATTTTGGAGCTGCGTTTGGGTTGATTTGGTGCCAGGGTACTTTTAGTTTGATAGGCAAGTGCATCGCCCCATCTAGTGGTGCTGTGGAATAGGGACAGCAGGAATGYAAATGCTGGCAAGATCTGTCTGTCCTGACAAATTTTATATGATTCCAGTGCTCAGGCATTATTAGTTTTAGAGCTGGGGTGGGAAGGAAAGCACAGAGCCCCAKTGTTGSTCATGCAGTTTRTAGGCTGCAAAGGGAAGGTGAAGACAAAGTCACAGCTTCCTGCTTGGGCAAATTTCATGTTGGAGCAGTAACTGGAGGATTTCAATTTTGGAGCTACACTTGTGGTTTAGAGAGTGTCATTRTACATTTAGTTGGCTGGGCAAGTCCACTATTTCAAGAATTATTTTCTGAAGTGTCCCACCAGCCCTGGGACTATATGCTTTCCTTCCCACCGTCATGCTCTCATTCAGGAGCCCAGTTCCAAAATGGTAAATGTTCAGTKGCAAAGGTGACAGGACAGAAGGTTGTCACTGGCCTTCCCTTTCTACGTGTAACACCCCCAAGAGCCCTTCCCCCCACACCCGACCACTCTGTGCTCCCACCCTGCCCAGAGTGGACATTTGATCCAGATATCTGGGGCTCTGCTCTGGGAAACTGGGGGTTAATCCAGTAAGGAAACCCTGCCTGACTGTGAGAGTGTGGGTGTGCAGGGAGCCARGAGGGGCACCCATGGGGTCACTGGAGACACCCACTGTGTAGAGGCTTCATATTCGTAAATATACATAAATAAAGTCTCTGGAGATGGGAATGTGACTGCCARRGTGGCTCCTGGGTGATCAGACAGGGAAGTTTCCTAAGAGCAGATTTAGGTGGGAATGAGAGCTCATAACCACAGTGTTTGTGATGCAATTTATGGGCTGCAGAGCAAAGGGGAGTCCAGCAACAGCATTCTGTCTTCAACCTTTTGTGTTGAACGTGCTCTGTTTTGGAGATGGTCTCACTCTGGAGTGATCATGTGTGATGATTCAATTGGCAAGCAAAATGCACAGCTCCCAGCAGTGGTGGTGCAGTTGACAGACTGCAAGGAGAAGGTCACAGAGACATCTTTTGGTCCTGCAAACTTTTGTRTGCAAGCAGTCCCTGGATGTTTTCAACTTTTGAGCTGGAATCTGGTGAGAGTAAATAACGTGACGGTTGGTGTTTATAGGTGGGAAGGAAAGCACATATCTGCAGAGCTGCTAGTGCAGTGTGAAAAAGGAGAAGGTGAGCATCAGCTTTCTGTCCTGATTCCTTTTGAGTGGGACAAGTCGCTGCACTTCTTCAGTTTTGAGCTGGGCTTTGCCCGGAGCGGAAGAATGCGATGGTACATTTTTTGGGAAGGAGAGTGCAGATCTCAGAGCTGGTTGGTGCCGTTTAGAGTCCGCGATGATAAAGTGCAGTAATAATAAGGAGCAAGGGCAGCCTTTCCCCTTTCCCCTTGCCCCGCAGCACCGCTAGATGGTGATGTGCGCCTGCTGAGAGCCCGTACTGAGCCGGAGGCGTTCACCGAGCACAAAGGGCAGCTCCGAAACTGAGAAAGTCCGGCCAAGGCTCACAGCCAAAAAGAGCCAGGACAGAAGGATTTTGCTGACCTTGGCTTTCCCTTTTCAGGCTGTAAGCTGCATCACCCACACTACAGCTAAACGCTCTCTCCACCAGCAGCGCATCCTGACRGGTCTGGATGTGAACAGCGTCTCCTGGCTGAAAGCTGCGGGCAGGCACCGCCAAAGGAAGGCAGGGTCTCATAGCTGTGCAGAGAGAACAAAACCCACCACAGAGATATAACAGATAACTTTTCAACGTACCGTTGTCTTTCACATGCATTTGATCGCCTTTTGTCACCACAGTATTAATTAGATTAATTAAGTCTGCCATATGGAATTTCAAAGGGGTTTAGTCCCTCTCTAGCACATAGAGTGATCTGGATTCTAGGTAAAACAATAGGCAATACATCTACCCAGAATCTTACATTTTTTCTTGATAGTCTGATTCAATCATTCTACTTTTTCGTTAGTTTGTTGTCTTCAAGCAGTGTGCAAATCCCACTTAAACCGAAGGAAATTAGACACCCTCTGAACCACCTTTTCAAAGGCATGTGGTCCATTGTCTGAAGATAAACCCTCTGGAATTCCAAATCCAGAAATGATTTCTTTTAGTAAAATTTTTAACAACCTTCCTGGCTCACATGGTGCAGCAATGGAAAGTTTCTGGACATGCTGAGAAATTACCAAATAGAACTAGCAGATCATTATAACACTCACATTTAGATAACTCAGAGAAATCTGCAAGTATTGCCCTGGAACTATTCCCCCTTTTACCCCTCCTACAGGGGTTTTAGGATTATTTACACAGCAGACTGGTTTTCTAGTGGTTGTGAGAATTTGTTGATCCGAAGTGTGTGTGTTTCAAAGTTCACAAGAAGCCGAGCATAATAACCACAAACCCACGCTTAAGACCATTAAAAAGAGTAAACCTATTTCCATSGTCTTGCTAACTGGGGTATCCCCAAAGCAGCACTGGGGCAGACGCTCACACGGGCACTGTTGGGTTTGTCCATGCTAGAGGATCCCTGCCTGCTGTTCWGTCTGCTTTATCAAGGCTTATTTCTAGCTGCACAGTCACTTGAGCTATTGACAATATTCCTTGCCAGTCTTCTGCCTATAAACCATTCCTCCCAGCACAGTTACCCACCAAAACGCTGAAATATTTTTCTTTTTTGAATACCTCTATATTTCTGCCAATCAACCTTCTTTCATTCACATGTTGGCACAGATTTATGTTGTTATTGTTACCTGACCATTGTTCTGTTGCAAATACATTACCAAACAGAGTAGAGCTCTCTCTTAATCTCTGTGGTGGTTCTGTCCAGAAGAGCTGCATCTTTATTCGCATTGCTAGATATCTGTTCATCTACCAGAATGCAAAAGAATGCATCTTCTAAATCCAAAACAGTCAAATTAGTGCTTGCCCATTACTTATTTGTTTTTTATTTGGATTATCTAAAATCCTGCACCAGCCTATGCTCTTGAGAAGAGACCTTCTTTATTGGTAAGATAGAAGTATTAAATTCAGGTTGACACTCTCTAAGTGGTGCTCAATACCACATCCAGGATATTGCTTTCAGGTTCCTCCAAGGTCTGGTTCATTTGTTAACAGGATCAAGCCTTCCATGCCTTTTCTTGTGGAATCTTCAATTATGCACAGTTTCCCGGTTATGTGAGCGTTTAACTTGCATAATAAATCACATCCTCTTTATCTGTCCCTGCCTCAATGTTACACAGGGTGGAAAGGAGGTAACTAACATTTGCACATATTCTGGCTCATCCCCTCAGCTACAAACAGTACCTTGCTTTTTTTACTCCTTCTTCTCAACACATGGCATCAGCATACCTCCTCCCAGTTCACGCCARTACCTTGGTTATCTACTTTTCTTTTGATAGCAGGTGCTGGATGTTTTCAGGTTTTGTGCTGGAATCTACTGAAAGTAAACAATGTCATGGTTTATTGAGGTGGAAAAGCAAGCACACAGCACTGGGTGTGTGGTTTATAGGCTCCAATGCAAAACTGAAGGCCTACAACTGCTTTCTCTCTGGGTACCTTTTGTGTGTGAACAGTTGCCAGACAACTTCAGTTTTGGAGCTGCAATTGTCATGGTTAAACAGTGCCATGGCACACTCAGTTTGTTAGGAGCTGCTTATCTCCATCTAGTGGCACTGTGGATGGGCAACAGGGGCACGGCAGAAGCTTTCTGKGCAGGCACTTCTTATACTGGAGCAGGGCTTGAAATGTTTTAATTTTGGAGATGGGCTCTGTGGAGTATAAAATAGTGTGATGGTTTATTTCCTTAGAGAGGGAAGTGCCTGGCCACAGTGGTAGTGGTGCAGTTAATACGTTGCAAACATCAAGAGAAGGTGAGCAACACTCGGCATTTCCTGGGCCAAGGCTGTTGCATAGAAAGCAGTGGGGGACAGGGCTGCAAGGGAWGACACAGCAGACATGCAGCAAGTAAATTGTAAAAGCTTGAGACTGGCTCCAGTGGCTTATGACACACGCCAGTCCTGCTCTTCCCTCTTCTAAAGCACACCAGGTTTTGTTTGTAACTTGGGTTTTTCTGCGTTACAGCTGACTTTGATCAGTTAAAGTGAATTAAACGTTCTTGGCAACACTGAAGTACTTCCAGGAAGTACATAACTAACCAGTTCCTGTAGTTCATAAACACACCTTAGTTTAATAAGTCATCAGTTACAGGAAATTCTCTTGCACAGCTTTTTGCCTTTGGAGCTGTGTCAGTGTGTCTCACAGCAACTTTTTCTGTACCTCACACTGTTTTCCTTCTTCTCTTTGTATATTGTTGAAAGTTACTTTTGAAAATTAACTGGTGGTGGCAATCTGGCAGAAAAGGACATTTCAAATACCAGACATGCACCAAAAACACACATTCTGTTGCCTAGAAGAGCATGGATATGTTTGAATGCATGGATGCTACTTGGCATAGTCAAGACAATCCACAGTCGGAGCCAGGATCTCGGCAGGCTGAAGGAGCAATCTTGCAGCGTGGGTGTAAATCCATCTTCAGCAGAGTTTCTTCACCCAGCAAGTGTCATGTGGGAAATTCACCCCAGGCTCCCAAGCCTTGTCATACTGTATCTCTAGCTAAGAGAAATAAGTATACTGGGCTGGATTTCAAAGGAGACTCCCTCAAATTGCACATATRTATTGGGATGCCCTGTCATTTAAAGGAAGATAAAATGAGTCACTGCAACTTTCTTGTTTCATCATGATAAAACATTTTACTTTAAAATTGATGTWATGAATCACTTCCTTTTCTAATTAAATGTTTCATTATTTCAGATGCTATATGGATGCAACACAGATTATAYATTCAGAAGAACAAATCCATAGCTCTATCCCCCACAGCAAAACACTTCACTCTCATTGGAAGAAGTGGAGGTAAATGCACTGTGGTCATCAGTGGGAGCAGCAGGCAGCATCTGGCCAGAAATAAACATCACTGGACCAACTTATTTGTGAAGACATCCATCTCACCTAATTATAGGTGTGTAAGAATCAATTTTGAAGTGCATGATGAGTGTTGTGGGCTGCTCTCTTAGGCCTGGAGAGTCCCTGCAATGCCTGTGGGGCATGTTCCAGCTGCCTAGA